TGTTTGGTCGGCCACAGACCATCGGCTCTTGTTGCTTTCTGGTCACGTCGCGTACGTAGGTTTGCGGCGCCGTCTTTCTCCATTCGTAATCGGGTGAGAAGAACGTTTACGGGAGAGCTTTTTCGCGGCCTGTTAACATCACGTGTGGGCTGATACCCGGGGTGGATTGTTCTGTACTGTTGTACGCACTCATCACTTGCGGCAAGTGCTTTAACCGGTCGTCCTAGTATCGTGAGCAATAAACTCTGAGCTTGAAACCTAGTGTGACATTCTGCCTCTTGACCAGACCATTCCATTGCGGACGGTAAGGGTTGAATAGGCCTGTGCCACCTGCGACCTTTTCATCAACTCCTGTGTGAGGTCACCGACAAACGCCTTGCAGTTCTCGGACTGGAACGTGATTGGACATCCTCGTCTAGCAATCCAAATACTTATCAAAAGATCATAGGTTTCCTCCGCTGATTCTGTCATGCAGGGTAAGGCGTCTGCATAATTTGTGAAACGATCGACCATTACCAGCTCTTGCAAATTTTCTGATGATCTGATTGCTCTCCTTCACTGATACCTGACATTTCTATCGATTGCAGAGGAATTCTCAGCTTCCTGAGTTCCTTCGCTTGTTTACAAGACATACTTGCTAAAATCCACTCTCACAGGCCTTCTTGAAGCCAGGCAATCCAAACCATTTCTCTATCCGGTTGTACACCTTGTTCACGCCTTGATGATTCATCTGGTCGTGTGAACAAAACAAGACTTCAATTGGTAAAGTTGTGGTAAAAGTGTCCAATTGTAATTGTAAAGAACTTATCTTATTCTTCGCGCTTGCAGGCCACAATCCCGTCTTTGTTCAAGTAGAACAAATCCTTTCTCTTAATTTAAATTGTTTCAGGAACTTATAACTATCCTGTTCCAAGTTACCTTTGTCGGGCGCTCCGTTCTCTAACCATCTTTTCAAATTGCTCGTCATTCTACCATTTTTCGATCCCTTGGTAGATCCGACAGTCGGTAAACGGCCTTCAAATTTGTTTTCATTACATTCAGTTGTCTGCTGATTTTTTCCTGAACGTGGGAACTACGAATGACCGTAGCAGGAGGAAGTTGCTTAGTTGGACGTTTCGACACTGCTATCAATTCAAGCTCGTCTGCAGCATGATCGAATACAGTGACCTTTTCATCGGAGGTATATCAAAAAACTGTAATTGAATTTGACGAATGGGAATCTTTTCTCATTCAGTGATTATTTCACTGGTGCAATTTGGTCCAGTTCGTCAAAGAAAAATTCAGGATTGCTCATCAGCGTCAATCAAACTTCTTCTACAGGAAAAATTTTGATGCTGTTTTCCAGACTTAAATAGATTTTTGCGTTTTGTAGCGCTTAAGTCTAGCATAATAAATTAGCTCTATCAAAACGAAGTGCCGTGGCTATAATGGTCTTTTATAACGTTATCTTGTCATCGGTTCGCGTAATTTTCAGTTTATGTCTTTGGCTGCCAAATTTTGTTTCATAACTCAGAGAAGGGCATGTGCTAGTTGTATGATCTCTGCTGACCCTTTTTGTATGCGACTAAACTTTTCAAACCAGTTGGGATGTATTATCAATTTCTCCTTTTAAAACTCAAAAATACCGGTCTTACAATCATAAAACAAAATTATATTACAATTTATTTTAAGTTTTCGTATTAGAAAATTATGGAAAAGGGCTTATCTTATTTCCATAAAATGAAGATTTTTAATAAATGTTCAAAAAAAAACTTACTTGACAGTTTATGAAATTTGTATGATATGCATTTTTCCATTAAAAATACAAAACAGATAAGAAGTTTTTCTCCCTTTTTCTTGTAAATTCTCGTGCTCAAACAACGTTTTTTAAAATATTTTGTGTCTATTGCGAATCCAGGCTAATGTTTTCATTCAGGAAAACCAACTTTTTAATTTTATATGACAAGGTAAAACTCAATCTGTAAAAAATGAGAATATTTTCTCATTCAGTGTTTTTTTCACTGTGGAAACTTGAGAGCCATTTACAAAAAATTCTGTTTTTGTATAGATTTTTGTGTGAAAGTAAAAAACGTTTGTTTAAGTGATTAATGGTCAAATGCAGTTATCTGTGTTCTAGCTGCCAATTAAGGTTTGTTGTGATTGAAACATCTTCGTTTTTGTGTTTTCGGGAAAAAAATTCGAAATGCAACCCTTTGAAAAAGGTTCTTGGTTACAATTTTAGGGAAAAAATGCTTGTCATACACTTTCATGGTTTAAAAAACGGCTTATTCTGTTTTCAGTCAATTTTTGGTGTAAAGTATGGCAAAAAGATTGCTAACTATTTCCAGGGTGCGAAAAAAAAATCTCTTTATAAATGTTCTTGAATGAAAAATGCTCATCGTGCTATTTCATACCTTTTTTGAAAATGTGTGAAACTGCATGGTACGAATTTTGTCAACCCGGGACGTGCTTATGTTGGTTTGTGGACCTTTGATGGTTACTTTTTGCTTCGGTTATTTCTACTAAAACTTAAAAATAGACTTTTTGTTGGTTTTGTTATAGAGTTTTTTCTTCGAGTTGAATGTAGTAACCAAAACTGCAATACAATCAAATCTGTTGATAACTCTCAGCAAAGTTCTGTGAAGTAGTAGCTCATTTCCGCTGCTCGACAAGGATTCTATCTTTTTAGAAAATTTTACAATTACTTGCCATGTTATACCACAAAGTGCTCTATAAGGAAGCACTAACAAAAGTGTTTCAATTCTTCTTTTGTTGCGTTAAAAGGAACTGATTTTGCTCAAAATCGATTCCAAATGCAATGAAGCCACTGATTGTTACGACTTTCGAAGAAAGTGACGGACGGAAAATTTCAGCTCGAGGTGTTTTTTCTCCAGACAAAGTTTGACCTTTGAACTACCACTTTGTGAACTTTTTTATAAATCATTCGAAAGTCGTTGTTGTTTTGAGCTCAAAATTAAAAAGATCTCTTAACTGTGATTATTTTCTGTACCATTTTCGGTATAAGAGTTTAAAAACGCCATTTTCTCGTCGTAAATTTACGGGGATTCATTTTTTTCGTAAAGTTATGGCAGTTTGAAGATTCCAAGAAAAATCTCAAAAATATAACTTTTTCTTTCTATAACTAAAAAAATCGAAAACTACTCCATAGACCTTAAGAGGCAGTCGAAATATTCACTGCTTCGCTCTCATAAGAGCAGTACTGTTTCCTTTTTTAATTTAACTTAATATCTATAACAAGTCACAATGAAGGCACAAATGAAAAAAAATCAAATGTTGGGTTACTTCATAAACTAAAATAGCACTTGGAACAATCAAGGAAAATTTTTCTAGTTGCTCATAAATTTTTCAGATTAAACTAGCTTTTTTCAGGATTTTTTCTTGCTATCTTGAAGACAAAACTGCTCCGAGCTAAAAATAAAAAGAACTAAAAATTTATTTCCTAAAATTTGCATCAAACTGAAATGAAGTCATCAATTTGGTCTTTTAAATAAGTTAATAGACTCAAAAAAATACATTACGTGGCCAAAATGTGAGCTAGATAGACGCACAACTTGGTATCTGTAGGTCACTGGAATCCAGAGACAAGTATTAAGACAAGATCCAAATTGTAAGTGGATTCCAGTTACATATGTTTCGTGGGTTCCTCATACAAATAGCTGTAACGTAAATTATGTCGGCAGATTAGTTTTGTCGCCGAATCTGCAACCAGCGATTAAAGATATTTGTTTCAGTTTCCCCAAAGGTAAGCGTAATCCGCAAACGTAAGTGGATTGTAAAAATTTATCCGGATTCCGCCTACAGTTGCGGAATCCAATGCAGTTAATTTTACTATAACAATCTTACACATAAAAAATTATTTGTTCGTTGATTCCACAATTTGTTTCAGATTCCGCCAGTTTTGTTGTGGATTCCGCAAAATTTGCTCTGATATGTGAACAGTTTTTTTGTTCTAATCTTAAGGCGAGCAGTTTGCTTCTATTAAAAACTAAAAAAATATATGAAATAGAATCAAAACTTTTTAGCACATTTTTCACCAATTTAAATGGAAAAAATCTTTTTTTATCGGATCTCAAGTTAAGTCGGAACAAATAGGGCTTCGCTCTGACACAAACAGTCTTTCTTGCTTTTGTACATATTCTAATACTTCTGTCAGCTCGCCTTCAAAAAATGAGACAACGTCTTTTCACATTGAGCTACATCTCAAATTCAACTTCAACTGAAAATAAGAACACAAAAAAGAGCGATGATGACGCGTTAGCTGTTCGCATCTTGGTTGTGAATGAAATGGTATAAAATGGTAAGAACGTATTAGTACGGATTTCACGTATTGCAAAGGAAGCCTTTTCGCATGGTTTTCTAGTTCCTACCAATTCCCATTTCCCATCGCGCTTTTCCATGACTTGCTGCGCTAAAGGAAAGCGTTATTATATTGAACGTGTTCCGTATTGACCATGTAGATCTCTTATTTTCTTACCACCGATTGACCAAATCTTTTAAAGCATGCTAAATTACTTCAGCTGAATAAATTTTCGCTAAATCGTTTTTCTTTTCACGCATTTTGATCCAAAAAATTATAGAAGCGTCTCTTGATTAAAACTTCACAGGTTTTGAGCAACGCGCTCTGGTTAGGCGTTGTTCGCTCAGTAGTTGTGATAGATTCGGAATCGTCGACAAGTTATTTTAAATAGCAAATACCTCAAGCAAAGCCTGTCCTTGCTTTTCAAAATTGGAATCATTAAATTTTGTCGGGGCTATTTGGGTTTGTCTGGTTGCAAAGCCAGAGGTAAAACAAAACCTGAAAGAATATATAGCCCAAAACTGACCGGGGAAAATTCTTGCGTTAGTTTTCCTGAAATTTTATAAGTTGTAAGAACCTAAGTTTACGAATCGCAAATTATTCTACTAATTTACTTTCGATACTGTTATTTTTTCAAAATAAAATTGGCCCTTAAATATAAATTTTGGTAAGGTAATTTGTTTCAATTTGAAGACACTAGTGACAATTTCTAAATAATTATGGGTCAAGTCAATTTTGAAAATAGAATGAGACCATTCTGATGAAAGGGCGTTTTCGATCAGAAGTTGATTGTCAAATATTTATTTTGTTCAACACGGCGGATCAACATTGACTGTGATTTTTGTGAATGTCAAACAAGTTCGAGCCTTAATAGATGTTGCCAATATAATCAGAAAGTTTCGTTGCATTATGAACCGCAATTCAACTGTTTTGAGCACCTTGCTTAAATAACTAGCTTGACCTTTGCTCTGGGTTAAATACGTTTCCAATTGATGAGATTAGAAGTGTTACTTTCCGATATTCCTACCTTTGATAACAAAAAATTTAAAAAATTATTCATTATACTAATTTAGAAAATTACCAACATAGAAAAGAGCACTTAAATCATCCTACATTTTAGCAAGCCGAAATTTATAATTTTGTTATTTTTAAAAACTATGTTTTTTTTGGCTGCAGCTTGCAAATCTAAAAAAGGCACACTTTTATCCCGCACGTGTTTAGCCTTAAAAATGCTGTTCAATTTTTCTTACCAATCGTTTCACATTCACTGTTATGAAGAAATGCATTGCATTGGTATTTGAGATTAACCGCTGCTGACAAAGAACAAAAATTTGGCTTCAATTTGTAATATTCAAATTTGCTCTGCGGCTTAATTTTCAAATCGCATTGTAATATTTTGTTAGAAAAAGAGCTGATGGTCCTAAATTGGTGCAAAAATCTGATAGTTTAAATTAATTGTTGGCCGGCTATATTTAAACTACAAAAGATTCAATCGGCTTGTTTTCACGCCATTACCAAAGGTGGTTAAAGTTCTTACTTAAACTTACAGAAAAAACTAAAGTTACGACAAAATGGTTCTATGCCCTACTGCATTGGCGTGTGGCTGTTCAACTCAACCCAACAAAATAGGTGAGAAATTACATTAATTTTTTCAAACATGGATTAATTTTTCAAATTTTTTGAGAATATTTATTCCATCATATGTAGATTTACTTGGTTCATTAGTGTAATTTTTTAACATAAAAATTACTTGTTTTCAGCTCGAGCGCCATCTGTCGAATCCCTCCCTTATTCGGCTTCAAACAATTCCGGCCAATCAACACTGTCCTCAAAACCCAACTCGAAAACATACCAAAAACGAAGCAAATCCGCCCATGGGAACAGACGCGCAGACAAAAGTCCGAACCGCGCTGGTGACAAAAACCTATCTTCGAACGGACCTCAATTCGGCCTTGATAATTTGACAGACTTTTTTAACTCTTTTGTTTCATTTGGCGACGAGCAAAAAGCCTCCAAGCCCAGAGTTGAAGTTCAAAGAAAATCAGAGCCAATACCGGGATTCGAACCTCCGCATTATGAGTTGCGACCCCATTCAGAATTTACAACTCCGGAATCGTTTGCTGTTCCGTCTTTTACCAGGGTTACAGACGACAACATTTCGGTTTCGAGTTCAGATACTTTGTACCGCTCAGCAATATATTTGGGACCGGAATTCATTTCAACCCCAAAAGCGAATCATGAAGGTTTCACAGCGGCTTTACCATTTCATGATTCACAGATGTCAAGAAAATCGTCCAAAAGGTCAATTAACTCGTCCACTTCTGGGTTAAAAACGGAGTCAAGTCATTTTACAAACGCAATAAATCGAAGTTTAGAAAACACTAAATATTCCAGAGGAAATGTTGGCAATTCTGGAGCGGATTTTGGTAGTCTAAACAATATGCAAAGAAAATCAGTAGCTTCACTTACTTCTGAAATGTCTGAAAATTTGTCTGAAAAACGAAAAGCCAAAAACCCTTTATCGTTCTTGAACAGTTCATTTTTGAGCTTGCAGGTCGATTTGTCAAAAAGTAAGAAAGAAGATTTGTTGAAGAATCGACAAAGTTCAACGCTTTCGCTAAAAGATACCAATTTCAGATCTCAAAAAGTTAGCAACGTTTTGCTAAACTCGGTTAAAAGTAGCCTGATTAATTTGAACCAATTTGGATCGGGAATATATGATCAACCACATTGCTTGAAAACATCAAACATGTCGCTAGCTTCCAATTCCAAATACCCGTCTATTCGAAATTTATTAGAATCACAAGAAGTTCTAGTAAATGAAGTTTATGGAAGTAATGTTTCATTTGCTGAAAACTCTCCCAAAAAAAGAGAAATTTCAAGAGAAAACTCGAGATCTAGAAATTCTATCTCGAATAAAAGATCCCCTGGGCGCGTTGACAAAAGATCAAACTCAAAGAAAAATCTGCAAAGAGAGGATGTTGATATTTTTCCAATTTCTCAAGAAAATCCAATTTATCAAGAAGTTTACCCAAAAATTAACCCACCAGGTTCGTCGATCCAGAGCTTGCACTGCTTAAACCAGCGAGAAATAAATAGGTACTCAAAACAAAATCCTGATGCCAACTTTGTGCTGCAAAGGAACTCGAGGTCTTCTGCGACTTTAATTCTACCCAACAAATTTACCCCCTCAAGTTTGACCCCCGGGTCGAAGAGGGTTGGGTTAAGTCCCGGAAGAAACCAAAGCCGAGATGGTTCTGGGTCCCAAAAAATGAGTCCAAATATGGGTAAGAAATTCAACTCGGAGTTCCATTCTGACGTCGTTTTGGAGTCGGAAAAGCCGAGAAGCCGACAGCGGTACTCAGATATACGAGTCGAAACCGAAGAAAACTTTGCTCGTGAATCGGGTTATTACAGTTCTCTCTCGCCAATTGCGACGAACGAAGTGTTCAAACCGAATGACAACACAAATAAAAATGAAGAGTCGAGAGCAAGTCGGCAACCAATCGGAATCCGAGTTGCTCGCTCGACTGAAACCGATTTTAAATTCATCGACGACTCAAGCGAAACTCCAATTATGAGTCATAAACAGTTTGCAAGTAGTTGTACTACTATTACTAACCAAATGGCGATAGATTATAACCTAATGGAATCTGTTAACCAAATGAGCGATTCGGGAAATTATGATGGATTTTCCGTTAAAACCGCCGATTCGCTTGATGAAAATTTGGTTTCGATGATTGAAGACGAGCAACCTCAAAACTTGATGGAAATCCCGCAAACTTCAAACAATACAAACTTGATACATTTCCAAGAAAGCGGAATGGAAATTGACAATATTCCTTTCATCGACAACGATGCCGGAACTTTGGAGCCCAGTTTTGGAACTGACCAAATTTCTCAAAATTATTTCAAGGAAACTTCTTTAGTTTTTCGAGAAGAAAACGAACAAGGTCGTGAAAGTTCAGTTGACGAATATCGTGAACAAAGTTTGGCTGAAAATGTTGATAGAGGCCGAGAAAATTTGAATTTTGACGAATTTGAAAACGATGATTTGATCACGTCGCCAAATGACCGAAACGAATACTTAGCCGAAAAGAGAACGCCATCAGAATTTCAACCACAGCAATGGCATAGCTTTTCAAAGTCGGTTTCAATATCTTTGGCCTGCGTACCTGGTTTGAATTATCTTCAGGCGATGGATAACTCAACGTTATCATTTATGGCGTACTACTCATTCTTGCCAGTATTACATGATACATGTGTTTCATTGAAGTTGGTTCCCAAGAAATTCAAGTGAGTTTTTTGTTTATTTTGATGTAATATGGCTTTAATTCTTCAACAGCTTAGGAATTAAAAGTGCTAAACTACACCAACTATAGAGAATTGCGAAAAATGGGAACTTAATGTTAATTTAAAAAAGCAATTGGCAATTTGCTCAATTTTTAATTTTGTTTAGTCCAATTTTTTGCAACTGATTATAATTGTTTGATATGGGTGTTTTCGCCAAAATGCTTAGTTTTTCCAGAAAATTTTCACCCACTTTCTTACACCTAAAGAGTCCTTTTACACTGAATCGAACCTTGCGACGCTAAATTGTCCCTAGTTATGAATTCCAATGTTATGCCTAGTGGAATAAAACTGTTGACAAAGTTCTTGGACAATTTTTCAATATTCTGCATAATTTTTGACCTTGACAAGGAAATTGGCGTTGAATTTGCAACCAAGTTTTCAAGATTGCATTTTAACTAAAGAGAATGGTAAAAGTTTGGACCGACAAAATTAAAAAACAAGGTAGCTTGTGTATCAGGGCAAAACCTGAAGGTTCCGACGGCATTTTAAGGCCAATTAAAAGTTTTTTGGTTGAATAATTTTTTCATATGCTCTGTGGAGTAATGATGGTGTGGTTAGCGTCTAGTAATAATTCAATCAAAATAACTTGCCGGCCTTAATTAAATTTCAAACTGTATGAAAAATGCAGGAAAAAATCTAGAAAAGTATTACAAAAATGCAATATATTGCGTAAAATTTATCTCAAATTGCCCAAACTAACTATTTAAAAACCCTTAAAACTTAAAAACCCTTAAAAAATCATGCGAAAAATAATCACAGGTAGAAAGTATTTTTAAAATTGAACTCAAGAGAACAATGTTTTTCAGACTATAAAAAAAAAAATGTGTCGAAAGCGTTTAGTACAAATGTAGAAAATTGACTAAAAAAAACCACCCAAAATATAATTATGTTGTACTTTCTTCAAAAATTGAAGCAAAAAATAAAGGAAGCGTCCTTTTCATAGCTATGGCTGGCAATATAAAGTATAAATTATTGACAACTTCCCAACTGTTTGCAACATCCTTTCCGGTCGACCAATTTAAATAAAGTTGATTGAATTATTACTGCTCATTTTGACGTTTCAGTTTATCACCAACTTCAACGGATTTCAGTTTATCACCAACTTCAACACGTAAAATTGGTGATCAAAAAAATGATTGATCTAAAAAGTTGAAGTTTTGACCGATTAAATTTCTCTAAGCAACCGATAGTGCCAACTAATTGGCATTAACAATAATGCGACAGAACTTTTTACCTATTTTTTTCCGACAATTCTGAGACACAAATTTGATCTGATAGATTAGGTTGTGCAGAAAAAATGTTTTCAAATTGGTCGATGGCTTTTTAAGTATTTATTTATCCGAATATTCTACCACTAATTATAACTATAGCAGCAATGCAATTATATCTAAAGAAGAAATTTTGTGAACAAGGTGCGCACTTCAAAATAATTTTAATTCAAAAAAAATCTGCCATGCATTTTTTTGAGAGCGAAAAAAGTTCAAAACAACGCCAAAAAACCAAACGCAAAACTTTAAAAAAAATTTTTAAAATAACTATAGACTGTAGGGTGAAATTGTTTTCCAATAAACTGAGTAGAAAAAACTCTAACTTTTGCCCGCTTTTCAGTCAGTGGTTGAAAAAAGGTCGGAATTTATTTTGACGATTCAACATTTTATAGTTTTAAATAAAATAATTATAGTATACAGTTTTGATTTAAATTATTTGTGCAGGAATTTAAAACGCCTTTTTCTACTGTTGGTTAGACAAACAACGATCTCGGCAAAAAATGCTTAGGTTTTTAGCAGAATAAATGTAGACCAATTTGTTTTTTTGCTAAATTCGGATCTAAAATTGTAACCCAAAAATAGATCATTTTGCCTTTTTTAGTCAATCAAAAAGTTCGCTGAAACTACAAAGTCAATAAATGACAAAGTTATATCGCAGCGAGCCACTTACATAGCCCAACAACTTTTAAAAAGAGTGTAGTCTCCATATATTTGCACAAATCGTTAACAAAATAAATTTTAAACTAAACAAATTGTGTTTGATACAGTAAAATTGACTTTTTATGTCTATCAAACATATATGAAATAATTTATAAAATTTTTTTGAGAGAACAAACTTATTAGATTTTCATGGGCTAGATAAGAGGCTCACTGCAATATAGTTTTGTCAGTAACTGGCCAGTTAGTTGTAGCGTAATTATTGATTGACTAAACAGCCGAAAATGGTCATTTTTGGGGTAAAATTTTGGATCTGATGTTTGCAAAAGAAAATGAACCATGATATTTCTGATAAAATTCTAAAAAAAAATTTGTCTTAATCATTGATTGCTTGAAGTCAACACAACGTGAAAAAAAACGTGTTTTGAGTATCAAGTTGTGATTTTTTTGTCCTAATTTCATACCGGCACTGTACTTGGTTTGATTCAAGTATTTTAAACTGTTAAATCACTGAGAAAACGACTGCCATTTTAAAAATTTGATAATAAGATAAAAAATGTGAAAAAATGCAAAGCAAACCACAAAAAAGTGTCATTTGTTTATTAGCAATTAAGCTATTGAAAATTATGCTTTGTAAAAGACACACCAGTTAGATATACTTATGCGTTAATCAAAAGAGCAAACTACCAACTAGTTTTTTTTTGTTGAACGAAAAGGTCGCACAAAGTCTGGTCGCACGAAGTTGCACGATGTCTGGCTGCCATTCAGGTACTCATTTTTTGCGTTTCTACTTTTGATTCGACCACTCTCACAAAACTGGACAAAATTATAGCATCCAACGCAAGTGTACGAGTTGTTTTTTTTTCACAGCAGGCTTGTTGTGTTGCTAAACTTAATTGTCTTTGAATGGTGCCAGTTTGTTTCAAACCGGTAAGTTGGTTTATAAAATTTTTCAAAGCCAGATAAAAGTCTGACTGTCGAGAAAATTTGTCTAGATTCATCCATTTATGAGGCTAGTATTGCAGCTCATAGCGACTGAAATTGACTTTCATTTGGAAAAAAGTTTTTCAATTCAAAATTACGTGATCAATCAGTGATTATGGAAGTAATTAAAATGTGGGTTTATCATTGAAAACTAAAGAAAAATTAATTTTCAAAAATAAGTTTCAAAAATTCAAAAAAAAATGCGAAATTTGCTTTTAACGCGCTGTAATTGCTTACGGATTGATGCTTGCTTAAAAATTTCGAAAATTAAAATTTTTCCAGGTTGATGTCAAGAAACATGACATTATCGAAATAGTTTGGGTAATTTTTTAAAATTTGATTGGCTCTTATGATAAGTTTTTTGAATTTGAAAGAAACCGGATATCCCAATATGGAAGATCAATCTTCTTGACCTTTTTATGTAACATTTCTATTTCAAAAAAGTCTTCTACAAGAGCAACATTGATTGCCAAACAGTGCACGTTGTGAAACTTAAACAAATCTGCAATAGGCTGAAATAGATTTGTCTCGGAACCTGCAACATTGCTATTTTTCTTTGGTTTTCTTCGCTGTTTTAACTCAACAAACAAATAACCGAATGGCTGTATTGCTCAATTTTGCTCCAAAAACAGGCAGTTTTATGAAATTCGCAATAAAATTTGTAGAATCCGCAACAAAATTTGAGGAATTTTGAACAGTTAGTAGATTCTACAAACGATTAATATTATATGATAGTTTCGCTGCCGTGGAGTCAACAACTGTAGGTGGAATCTGCAAATTGTAAACGGAATCCACAAACTGTGAGCGGAATCCTAGAGTGTAAGTAGATTCCGCAGAAATATGCAGAATCAGCTTACAGTTTGAAAGTTTGCTTCAAAAACGACATAAATTGGAAAAAATTATTATTATTTTTTGAAGAATATGGTCTGAACCACTTGCACAGTAACCGGCTACCCAGTATAATTTGCATAGAATATTCTGTGCTACTTGCACATCAACCGGCTATTATTGTTCATTTCTGAAAATATCTGTTCAGAGAGAGTGACTTGAACAGTGTGGAGGTGGACAGGACCAACTACAGTCAGTGGGAGGATGCGATTGTGTGTCAGATAGACGAACCAGTAGACAGACATCTCACACGCAAAGAGAGACAGGTTGGTGAAAAAAAAAACATTTTTTAATGACCAGAAAGCTTCAAAAGAGGCAATTAGACCAAAAATGTTCATTAAAAAATTTTAAAACAATTTTGAAATTTTGTATGAACTTTGTATGATAAGCAGTTTTTCTATAGACTTCATTTATGAAACTGTATGATAAGCATTTTTCTGCTATGGACGTCAACCCGGAAAGGTACTAGAGTTTTGTTTCCACTTTTTTTGACGGGCTATTTTGGTATGTCTCAGCCATCTCGACGAATTTAGTGTATTTTTCGACTTTCTGTCTGACTTATAATTTCTTCCTAATCACCTGTTTTACTTCAAAACAGAAGTCGAGTATTTCGACCGGGTGGCGTTGTCAGGCTCAATTTATCTTTAATATAACATCAAGTTTTGTTACTTTAACCAAATTATTGCCAGAATTTATCCTAATCGGTAAAGGCTTAGGGCAAGCGAGCTGATACGCGTTGATGGGTTTGCTATTCCAGAGACACGAAGTGTTCAAATAAAACACCGAGTCGACTAACGGCGAAAAATACCTTTGAGTAGCCAATAATTAATAATTTTTGCAATAACTAAAACTGTAATAGGACCAATTCTGTCTGTGACATTCTGTTGGGCGAAACCTGCATGAGGACAAAACCAGTCCAGTTCAATCTTCTCACAGGAGGTCTTAAATATGAAAAATTTCACCCAATCAAAACCATTAAGCTGTAAAAAACACTAAGAATAGCGATATATTTTTCAGACGTTTCGAAGCAAAAGTCAGATTCTTTCAACCGCATTTCTGCTATAGTCCCTGTAGATTTAGGGGATTTCTTCTCTATGTTCGTTCTCTCTTTCCTAACGACACCGCAAAGTCGTCCCTTGGGCAGTGATTCAGTGGGGCGACCGAGATTCACTATTATCTACAATCCCGAAAGGGTTATTCTGATGGCAACTATTCTGTATTGTATTATGTTGCTTGCCCCTCTGTGTATTGCTCTTCGGCTGTCTTGTCTCGTCTACTCAATACAAGCGCAAGAAATTCCAATGATTAATTAATTTAGATGATTAAACGTCCAATTACAGAAGGCTCTGAGTGGCCAGGACTTAATCTAATAATCAAGTCAAAAGGAAATTGTTCGCGATTTATCGGCCAAATTGCCTAATTGCAATTAATTTCCAACTAACTCCACTAACACTAACTATTCTCTCTCTCTAGCAATAAATGAACTAGCAATAATTGAACTCTCTAACTAACGGAGAACCACTATACTCTCTCTCAGTATCAATTGCTCTCTTCTCTGACTGAGAACCAACTACTCTCAATAGTAGTTCACACTGTTCTCTTCTCTGACTGAAAACCAACTACTCTTAATGGTAGCTAACACTGTTCTGACTCTTAAAGGCTCTCCGCTACCCTCCAATTCCTTTACACTTAGTTTTAGTTAAGTCACGCCATTCCCTATCAGTCCTGACATCCGCCCAAAACACCCGTCCGCACATGTTTTAAGACTATATCCCTCCTCCTGTCAACCGTGCCACGTGCCAACTTCGGTTTGTTTTATCAATCTTGTCACACTTATTAGATACCCGGCATGCGGTAGCTGTCACAATTTGACCAAGCAAACAAATGTTATACGATTCTAATCAGCAAATTTCTGACCTCACTGACTTCAGCCCTCGAGTTCAATTCACCCTACAAACCATACTATGTTTACTCAGTGACCCTCCCAAGGTCTTTAATTTAATTTTCCCATTAACGTTCCGACCTCCCGGGGTAGGGGAGAACCTTTTCGTGGATAGTGAATTCATTCCAGGCATCTAAAATTTTTACTCTATTCCAATCCCAAATTTCTAGCAGTCAAAGGAACGTAGTTCGTCTATTAGGTGTCAAATCAAAACAGAAAGTCACCTCCGGGAAGCCAAGTAAATTCACCGTCCGTTCATACGATTTAGGAGAATTAATTCTCATGCTACGGTTATATTACTGTCAATTTCCTCTGGGACTACTTTTCTTTAGTCTAGTTGAATTGCTATTAATAGATGATTCGCCAAGCTAAACTGGACCCATTTTTTACCAAGTCCACTTTGAGCTAATTGTACTAACACAATGTTGCAATATAAAACTAAATCTCTATCAGCTTCTGCTCTAGTTCCCAACATATAAGTTTTCCTCCCAACTTTTAGCAAGGTGACCCATTCTCATTTACAGAGGTTAGGCTGGGGAATACGCCACTTTCCGGTGTTAATCTCGGAGTTTTCCATGCAATTTTGGGGTCAAAATGCCCAAAGGTCAACTTAAGGTCACCCAGGGATCAACCGGGGTCAAACTTTCATTTTTGGGTTCAGAATCCCATGGGGGTTTTAACTACCAAGTTTCAACCATATCCCATTAATACTTCACAACTTTTCCCATTTCTCAGGTCCTTTATCACTTTTTCCGGGAAAAGGCTATTAACACCGGAAGGAGTCGCCGGAGGCGTTTTAATCATAAGAAGTCTTTTTTCGTGATTTAGTTGTAGTATCTAATGTCGCCATAAAATCAATATGCCATTCATTATTTCGCGTAAATTGCCTATTTCCGTTCAAAGGTAGTGTTTTTCCAAGCGCTAATAGCTTCCAGTCCAACCGCCGCATTTGATTCAACTTATAATACAAGATGTATCTTGCCACTACCTATCATCCCTCCAAGTTTCAGCTCTCTGCGTTCATCGGTGGCCGAGAAACGACTTCCGGAAGTTAGGAGTGGGTTTGTTCACTTAGGGCATGAAATCGGAAGTGGGGGTTCTTAGGGGTCTGGGGTTCCAAACTTAAACTTCCCTCAACTAGGCCTACAACATACTAGAATTTGAGTCTATTCCAACCGCTAGTTACCGAGTTCTGATAGGGCCATTTAAACTTCCGGGGACCGTTATCACTTGCCCCCCAAGGGTCTGAGGGGTCCCGATTTTTGTATGCGAGGGTCAAATTATCTCTAGTTTTGCTCCTCTGAATTTCATAACTTTAGCTTCGTTAGTTCCGATTTGGGGGGTGTTCGCCGATTTCGTCAAAGTTTGTTTTCTGACATAGGAGGGACGATATCTTCGAAGATTGAACTATTTGGAACTTTACCCTTTGTTTGCTGTACTACTTAACTTATTGACGAATCAATCTTACGCTCAGGTTACTATAGCATGTAATACAGTAGAATGAACAATTCTACAGTCTTCCCTTCTAGTCTATTATTCTCCCGAATAATGCTAATGACAAAGTTTTAACTTACCGTCTTTCTACTCAACTAGATTAACCTTTTCTAATGCCTAATCTTATAATAACTTTTTCTAATTTCCGAGTTAAACTTTCTTAAACAGAATCGCTGACCCTTCAGTCAGTCCCCATATGTATAATCAGATTCGACTAGTAAGTACTATTTGTTACAGAAATCCTAGCTAGGGGACTTGACTGCTAATAAATTTACTCCTCGCAGAACGACCCAACCTCTTTTCTTTAAAAGCACCTAATGTTCAACAGTAACGCAATGTTCAGCAATACTCTGAGGTTGGATCGCAATTAGATGTTAAACAAGCACCAATGGGCTGGGTGACAAAGTTTCCGAAAAACTAGTTTTAACTCACAAATTCATCTATCCCAAACCTAACTGGAGGCCTTCTTACTCGAAATGGTTTACCCACATCTGTAGTCCCGCTTTCTATCACAGATTCATTCATCGCCGGCTCACCCGGAGGTCTACCTTCAGATTCGTTGGGGGAGATTCTCGGGCTCTTCTTCCCTTCAATCTTGTTGTGTCGTATGTCTCCACTGCGTCGCTCTGTCGTCGTAAGCCTCCGTTTAGCCCAGGAGGATTAACTAGTGGCTCCACCACTACCCGATTTCTTCGTGGCTTTTTTTCTCAAAAAGTTCTTGACTTGGGCCTGGATCATGGTTGAAACCCTCGCTGTTGTTTGCCCAAAACGCCTCGTCTTCGACGTGCATCTCCGGATCATCAGAGAAATACGCCGACCGGTAGGGTGTCGGTCGCTTCCTTGCAAAAGATTTTTCTGGTTGAAAGGTTTCCTCAGCAAAATGTTTCAACATGTCAAAATGCAGAAACTTCACCTTACTCGGATTGGACACCTTTGACAACTTGTACCTGACTTCGGACAGCCTGGCCATCCCAACATATGGTCCTTCCCACAGGTCAAAAGACTTCTTTGATTTAATCGCCTCTTGTGACCACACCCAGACCTTGTCACCAATTGCATAGGGTTCCCCCATGAATTTTCTTCCAGTAATAGCTTTTTTGTCGACGCTGGTCTGTCCCGAGTAGTTCTCTTGTGCGCTGCTGTGTGCATCTCGGAACTGTTCGTCTAGCCATTCGGCAAAACCATCCTTCATCATCAGTTCGTCATGAGGTTTTGCGTAGAACAGATCGACTGGATACTGGCACTCCTGTCCATGCAACATACTAAACGGCGTAAATCCCGTTATCCGATTGATTGTCGTATTGTACACAAAGTTCTAGTACAGCAACGTCGTGGCCCATTTCCTTGGCTTCTCTGTGCAAAATTTCAAAATTACATCAGCCATCTTTGCGTTGTGTCTATCTGTCTGTCCATTACCCTTCGACCTATAAGGAGAAGTCTGAGTTGTGTCAATACTCAAAAGTCGGCACATCTCTTGGATCAATTTGCCACCAAAACTTTTTCCTTGATCTGTGCGACAAACGTTGGGAACTCCAAACGTCAGTACCCAATTATCCAATTTCTCATCAGTTCCTGTTCCGTTCCGACAGCGTTTTACGGTCTACATCAGCATCTCGTTTTGGCCACTTGTTGTGGCTTCCTCTACTCGAACCGTATGTCAGTTGGTCTCGCTTCGATACTTGTTGTCTCTGTAAGTCGGCCGGGACAAAACCTATTTTGAAATCGCTCCTTGCCCCCGGCCCTCGGTAGTTTAAATAAACCGAAGCCTTTCTCGGATACTCCTTCGCAAAGCGACCCATCTGACCGCATGCGTAGCAGTTGCCACGGGGT